GTAAGTTAAAACTTGCTGAATCTAAATCTCATTGTGCTAAAGCACATGATTTGGATAGCTCACGTATAGACGTATCATCGATACGTGAAAAACATTACACATACTAACCAACTCGGTAGGTAATGCTAAATGATAGAATACTTCTTCTACTCGTTCAAGAACTTTGAACAGACTTATACAACAAGAATGCAGCTTACCTTTCTTCCCAAAACGAACGACACTTCTCATTAGTCGAACTTTCAGAAAGACTTTATCTTCAATCTCTCAATGCATTGCTCTTCCATGCTTATCAACTAAAAACTTCTTCCAATTATGAGCAGTCTTGAACCTTTCTTGAATCCAGGCTACATACTTGTCTATTTCCTCAATCAACTTCCATTATGGTAAAGCCAAATACTTTTGGACTTGTCACTTATGACTCGGAACATGACTATATGGCACTTTGCATGCGATGTACCCACTACCCGGGGCCCTTCGGGTGAGGAACATTTACATGCGTATACCTACAATGTCAATATCACCTGCAAAATTCACATATCCGTTAGTATTTTCAACTGTACTGAACTTGTCTCTGCGCCGGAAAACCTTCTGATCAAATATTACTATCAACACTTATATTCCTCTGACTTTAATATTTCCAATAAATCTCAAATAAAACTGATTTAGAAATTACTGCACTGTATAAATTACCCAATTACTGATCATACCACATTTCACCTATCGAGGTGAATTATTATGTCCTCAATAATGCTGACCGGCACAACTCAACTTCACAATAATTCATTCTTCAATTATTTCCGACATCTCATATCAGATTACTGCCGCATTAATTGCATACTGGCTGCATGTTCTGACATTAGGAATATAATGATAATGCCAAACTCTATCTCCAGAAACTTACCTTATACGCTTCGATCTTCTATAAACCGGCTCGCTAATCCTTAAGTCTTCTTCAGCAATGGTCCGAAACAACAAATGGATTCGGCACTTTCAAATATTCGCAAATCATATTCCTTTCTTCCTTTTAATATCATAAAAAGGATTTATCTATCTCGAGTGGAAAGATTGAGAGTGCTAATGATCCACAATATTCCAAATGATATCCGATGGTTGATTGAAGCAAACGTCCGACTCTCTGGTGAATTTCCAAATTCTTATAATTATCTGTCTGGTATGGGTAGAAGTACTCTTGCCAAGAAACGTAGAGCAAAACAAATAGGCGGCTGCTATAAATGTGCTCGATCGAATTGCGATACCCGATGCAAATCGCTGGGGTTTGTATCTATAAATCGAGAAGATAAAATAGCTTTCATTAAGAATGGCTTGAATAATGAATCTCTGGATCAAACCCTTCAACAAATTCTTGAGACACATCCCAGTGGATATGTGCATCAAGAGCTTATGTCTTTATGGGTCTATTTTAAAGATGAACAGAACCGCTATAGTCTCGAAAACATAATTGCTAAGGATCCTGTTTGCAACAGCTATCTTTGATAACTCCCTTATTAAAAGGTATTTATTTCTTTTGATAAATATAACTCATTGAATGCTTAACTGCTCCCATGTCTGTTGCTTCTGCCAAAATCAAACATTATAATACTCATTCTCTTTCCTTAAATAACCCATCCTTTCCCCATTTGAGTATCTCTCTACTCCAAATGGAGACTCTTGTTTCTTCTCAAGTCACGAAAGTTCTTCCTTCTATAAAAACCATTTGTGTTCTTG